AAAGATTCACTTTGGAATCACTTTTCTCAGAAACATGAGTGTGCTACGCGAACAGGCGGAAGCCAGAACAAAACGTGAGCAAGTTTTATATGGTTGTAGCATATCAAGTCTATAAAGTAAATTAACGTATAAAAGCCTATAAAGTAAATATTGGTAATCAAATAAATTTGTTTTGTCATTCAAAGTAGGTCTAATATGATTTTTTTAATTTCACGTAACGCTGTCAGTGAAATTTTATTTTATATGCTTGTAAAATTTCCTAGTTTGACCAGATTATTCCCCATCACTTCCAGTGCGATTGTCTAAATAAAGTGCTGCCTCTGTGCTGCAGCTGACTCATAATGGCAAATATTTTACAGAAAATTCAGTGATTCCTTCATATGGAGTATTCTGCTGGTTAACCCCAAAACCAAATACGCTGAATTACGCCTTTTTACTTAAGCTGTCCAGTTCCTCTCAAGTTTGATACATATCTGTTGAAAGCTTTCAGGTATTCTTCCTGTTCATAACAGTTGTAATTCTTTTTAAGGTTATAATAAAGACTGACTTTATTGATCCCCGGGGGATATTCTGGTGTGTACAGCAGCAGGAACACACACAAACACTCCTGGGCAAAAAAATGGGCCAAACCCAAAGTTCACAACATGAAGCTTTGGCCAATTTCTTTTGCCAAGGAATGTATAGATAATTCCAAAGAGAGGTGCAAAGATAGCACAGATAGTGCAAGCAAAATACTTCTTTTGAATTTTTAACATCTTCCACAGTGAAAGTCCACGTGCTGGTCACCGGAGAAATTTTCAATACTCATGAGACCTTCATGCAAAAGCTGAAGCTGCGGATAGAGCTCTGCAGTGCAGAGAGCAGCAACATCATCCTGGTCTTCTGTCCTGTTGTTTCTCATATTAGGACAGACATGGAGGCAGCAATGGCCAGAGTTACAGGTGAGACAGGATTCAGTCTCTGCTGTATGTCACCTTTGCCATGAAATCCAACAAAGACACGGCAAACAGGGATTATGTAATAACAGATAATCTGGTAGATGCAATTAATCAATAAAAATGATAACTTTTTAAATAATAAGATTTCCACAAAGTTTACATACTGTGTAACAGAATGAAACAATGGGGCGGTACAGTGATGCAGTGGTTCACACTGTTGCCCTTCGCCTCT